TTAAATGGTATTTATTAGGGAATGAAGTGTATTTTAATTGAAAACTCTTAAATAATGCTACGGTCTTGCTTTTAAACTAAATTACTACTTCAGTAAATGTTCATGTAACTACATCAATAATTATGTTCGCTTAAGAACCCGCATCGAGGTACTTAAGCGGGTTCTTTTAAGTACTTAACCCGCCTAAGTACCTCAAAAAGCTGACATTTTTCGTGAGGTACTTAAGCGCGTTTTACTGAACTTAATATACCAATGAACAATTTTTATGAATTTTCCATTTTTAAAACACCAATGGTAACCAATAACAAACGAAGCATCAACTTTGTTTCTGATGCGCTGATTGCGCTAGCGATGCGTTTCGATAAATTTTCGGATGCGTTTTGGAAAAGTATACATCGTCAAAATTTTGTAGTTCGGCGTTATTGAACGTTATACTTTGTACCAGGGTTGTTGCGAATATTCGCATTCGCAACCGCGGAGCTTCCGCATTAATTTTGACATTCGCATTCGCTTTCGCATTCGCAATAATCAATGCGGATCTTTTGCGAATGCGAATATTGAAGCGACCGAAAATAATAGTTATTTTTTTACGAGTTACACTTGGCCAAATATTTTTATTCCCGACTAAAAGTCCTTTTCATACAATAAACAAACCGCTTAACCAAATTAAACAAGTTTGGTATCAAATGAAAGAGGACTTAAATAGCTTTAAAACTGAAATATCTAAACAAGCAAAGTCACCTATTGAAAAATATTTCAATAAAAAATGATAATTAATTACCATAGAACAAACCTTGGGTCAGGTATATGAATTTCTTTAGTATTAAATTATATAAAAAAAAAATATATATAAATAGCGGTGGTAACCTTCGTTCGTTATTTCTGTTTAAAAGCTATTTCAGTCCTTTAATATTGATAAGCTGTTTGTTTATTATCTAGAAAAAACCTCGGAATAAAAAATATTAAGCCAAGTTTAACTGGTAAAAAAATAACTGTTATTTTCTGACCCTGGAATATTGTGCAAGTGCAATGATAAAACGTATATCTGGCCGGTCAGAGAAGAAAGGATCACAAATGAATTACAAAAACTAAAATCGAAAAACGCTGTTGACGTTACTGGTTCTCCACATTCAGAAACAACCAAAAGAATGAGAATGATGAATGCTTTGGAAAACAACGGTGTTTAAACAACGATCTTGCCATGATACTAGATTGTGAAGATGAAAGTCAGGAGGATACATACGACATTTGCAGACCGATGCAATTACCAAAAAAGAATTGCACCGCAATAAAAAATAATAATAATAAATATAACTGAAAGTCCTCTCGACTGGTGCAGCGTCAATCGAAAATAATTTACAATTTTGTCAAGTTTCCAGTTTTTCAAGTTTGGCGCCTCGAGCGAGTAGTTATATATTGGCGCAGGTTTGATTTACGACCCTTTAAAAATTTTTTATTGAATACAATGTTCCAATTTTTAAATTCAAGTACTAAAAACAAAATTTTTAAAAATTACTAACCTTTCCATTTTTTGTTTAACTAAATCACCTAATTTACTCACCTAAATTATTTCTTAACAAGTAAAAAAGTGTAAGTTCGGGCATCGGGTTCGCTACATGGTAAGCAGTGGTGGTTTTACGTCTATTTCAAACATCTTCGACAGAACGTTCAGCTAGACATATTGAGATAAACTTATATAGATATATGTGGGCGGCATCACGCCCATTTTCCAAAATTCCATAACAATGTTACTTCTTTTCAAGGGATTGTTGTTAGTATCAATTTTGGGTAAAATTAGCGTTATAAAAAGGTGGTCGTAATTTTAGTCAGATTTCAATAACTTTCAACGGTTTGCCTTTATGGGGCAACCACAATAATAACACTATGCGACAGTCAAAATCGGGATGGGATGAAACCAACGGGAAATGTTATATCGGTCAAAAACAAGTTATACGTGTCCCGGCGTTTCGCTGGGTCACGTCTAACGTTTTTCTATATAATCAACAGTTTTAAAAAAATTTAATATTTTAGGAAAAAAATATTTTTTTTCTTCATACATTTATTTTTGCCGGCAAAACTGTTTATTATATAGAAAAACGTTATATGAAAAGAATAAAGGAATTGTAATTTTTAATTTTTTTTCATTTGTTTGAGCAAAATCGGACTAGTGGTTCTCGAGTTATGTCNACCAAAAAAGAATTGCACCGCAATAAAAAATAATAATAATAAATATAACTGAAAGTCCTCTCGACTGGTGCAGCGTCAATCGAAAATAATTTACAATTTTGTCAAGTTTCCAGTTTTTCAAGTTTGGCGCCTCGAGCGAGTAGTTATATATTGGCGCAGGTTTGATTTACGACCCTTTAAAAATTTTTTATTGAATACAATGTTCCAATTTTTAAATTCAAGTACTAAAAACAAAATTTTTAAAAATTACTAACCTTTCCATTTTTTGTTTAACTAAATCACCTAATTTACTCACCTAAATTATTTCTTAACAAGTAAAAAAGTGTAAGTTCGGGCATCGGGTTCGCTACATGGTAAGCAGTGGTGGTTTTACGTCTATTTCAAACATCTTCGACAGAACGTTCAGCTAGACATATTGAGATAAACTTATATAGATATATGTGGGCGGCATCACGCCCATTTTCCAAAATTCCATAACAATGTTACTTCTTTTCAAGGGATTGTTGTTAGTATCAATTTTGGGTAAAATTAGCGTTATAAAAAGGTGGTCGTAATTTTAGTCAGATTTCAATAACTTTCAACGGTTTGCCTTTATGGGGCAACCACAATAATAACACTATGCGACAGTCAAAATCGGGATGGGATGAAACCAACGGGAAATGTTATATCGGTCAAAAACAAGTTATACGTGTCCCGGCGTTTCGCTGGGTCACGTCTAGGGTTTTTCTATATAATCAACAGTTTTAAAAAAATTTAATATTTTAGGCAAAAAATATTTTTTTTCTTCATACATTTATTTTTACCGGCAAAACTGTTGATTATATAGAAAAACGTTATATGAACAGATTAAAGGAATTGTAATTTTTAATTTTTTTTAATTTGTTTGAGCAAAATCGGACTAGTGGTTCTCGAGTTATGTCAAAAAAAGACCACCAAAGGTGACAATTTCCCCTATATGATAGTTATATATATATCTCGATTCCTAGACGTGACCCAGCGAAACGCCGGGACACGTATAACTTCTTTTTTACCGATATAACTTTCCCCGGTAGTTTGAACCCTTCCCGATCACTGACCCCTACTATTTGTCTCACAGTTTAATCATCATCATCATCAACGGTTACCGAGATACACATATGTGGTCTTAAGTGGGCGGGGTCACGCCCATTTTCCGACATTTTATTATAAGCGTACTTTTTGCTAAAGAATTATTGCAAACATCAATTTTGATTAAATTAGCTTCAGTAGTTACTGATTTATCTAAGCTTTCGTATTTCTCTAAATTACAGTTATGTGGGATGTGGGCGTGGTTATTATCCGATTTTTTAAATTTTCAGCCATTTGGTATATCTTGTGAAGACCAGTAACAGTGCCAAGTGCGGGAGAAATTGGTGGAGCGGTTCCCAAGATGTACACATGTAATCATAAGTGGGCGTGCGTACGCCCGTTTTCCAAAAATTTATAATATTCTTATTTTTAGTTAAAAAATGATTGTACACATCAATTTTGAGTGAGTAAGCTTCAGGAGTTACTAAAATATCGCAGTTTTCGTATTTCTGAAAACTACCGTTATATAGGAGGTAGGCGTCGTTATCTTCCGATTTTGCCCATTTTCAACACCATCCGTCCTACGTTCAAAAGAAGTACACACACCAAGTTTCGTTAAGATATCTAAATTTGTAATCGAGTTATCGTGTGCACAGACGTACGGGCGGACGGACGGACAGACAGTCACGGCTTAATCGATTTCTCTTTTCATTCTGAGCATTTATGTGTACGTTTGTTTATATCTATCTCGATTCGTTTTGCCTGTTACAAAAAACCGTTATGTGAACAAAGTTATAATACCCTTGTGCACAAGTGCGCTCGGGTATAAAAATACTTAACATCCGCATTCGCAGTCGCATCCGCGGATTTTAGCGTTTAAACACCCAAATCCGCATTCGCATCCGCGGATGTCTAAAATTCCACATTCGCAACATCCCTGCTTTGTACGTATGCAAAGCAATTGACGTGTTGGAAGTCAGCCATACATTTCATTGAATCATAAAAGGCTGAACCCACACCGTAGAAGACAAAACGTTTGTTCATTTCGTATAGGGCAAGAGTACATTACATTACGGCCGGCGAAAAAACACGTGTTGTCGCCTTCGGTGTGGGTTCAGCCCAAGTTCCCACATCGTTTTATGCAATAAACAATTTTAGTTATTTGTGGCTTTTTTGCATTACAGCGACGATGTGAGATACGCCTTTTCCATTTTATACTAATGATATTTTATTTTTTTTTTTATGTCGCTTTGGCCAGTAGTGGTAGTACGCATCACGTCAAAATACATTACCTGAGTTTTCTTGGGCAATGATCGGGATCGGGTTAAAAAATTTGCACGCAAATGCAACAACAACGATATGATCCTGATAGACATCTGGTTCAATTTATGATCCGCTGTATTTGGTTTGTGTCACTGATAATTTGGCAGTTTGGCTTGGTAGCACTGAAATGTGATTGTATGTATATACAAACATATATTCTGCCATTGCTTTTATTAACTTGCTTGAAATAAATTGCCTTTATGTTAAATATTTGTTTAAGAGATTACATTTCCCCATTTAGTGCGTTCATTTTTATAATATCGTTTTCCTCGTGCTAGTAGTATAAAATTAGTGCTGCCAACCCCAATAAGAATGATCCAGACCGTTTCCGTGAGAAATGATCGCAATACTGAGCTGGATAATCCAAGAAAACACGGCTATTATGTGCTGAAAAATTTCTAGATTTATTATCATTCATTAGAAATATTATCTTTTATTTGCAGCCTCGAATATTCGATACCAGATCACGGGCGGTAACATAGGCAATGCTTTCGGCGTACAAAACACAACTGGCGCGATTTATGTTTCCAGTCCACTCGACTATGAAACCAGACCAAGGGTAAGTGCTTACAGTAAATCTTATCTTACTAATATTATAAATGTAAAAGTTTGTATGTTTGGATGTTTGGGAAATCATCACGCGGAAAAGACTCGACGGATTTGCATGAAATTTGGTACGCAGATAGCTTATGGGCCAGATTGGTTAATAGGCTATTTTTTTAAGAGTTGCCACCTGTTAAAAAGTTTAATTTATTTAATATGCTGGAACGACTGAATGGATTTGCATGAAAATTTGCACACAGATAGCTTATGGCCTAGATTGGAAAATAGGCTACTTTTCTTAAGAGTTGCCACCTGTTAAAAAAGTTTCATTAAATTAATACGCGGAAACGACTGAATGGGTTTGCATAAATTTTGCAAGCAGATAGCTTATGACCTACAATGGAAAATAGGCGAATTTTTTGGAAGAGTTGCCACCTGTTAAAAAAGTTGAATTAAAGTAATACGCGGAAACGGCCAAACGGATTTGCATGAAATTTTTCACACAGATAGCTTATGACCTAGGTTAGAAAGTAGGCTACTTTTTTAAGAGTTGCCACCTGTTAGAAATGTTTAATTTAATTAATACGCGGAAATGAGTGAACTGATTTGCATGGAGGTTTTCACACAGATAGCTTATGAGCTAGGTTGAAAAATAGGCTACTTTTTTAAGAGTTACCACCTGCTAAAAAAGTTTAATTAAGTTAATACGCGGAAAAGTCTGAACGGATTTGCATGAAATTTTGCAAGCAGATAGCTTATGACCTACAGTGAGAAAAAGGCAAATTTTTTGGAATAGTTGCCACCTGTTAAAAAAGTTTTAATTAAATTAATACGCGGAAACGACTGAACAGATTTGCATGACAAGGCCCCTCCCATACAAATTGGAATTTTCATATTACATACATATATCTGGAAGTATTTGTGGGAGAGAACTGAAACTTGGTATAGTGATATGTATGTGAAATCAATGATGGCATTAATCGATTGATGTTTTAATCAGTTAGTTAATTCGATTAAACTCAATCTGATTACAGTTAATCATGATTCATTTTAATCTGACTAAACAGTTAATCGTAACCGCGATTAAAAAATTAATTTTTAATCGTTAACTCTTAATTTGAACAAGTAGGTTTGGTGATTAATTAAGTTATGCTGGAATTTCCCTGTGCACACAAAGCAAGTTAATCCGGTATGTCTCAATCAGGTTTTCTCATCAATCTAAGCAATTTGGTGTGCATTTTCATTAAGATATATACCAACAAACGTTTTACAAACTAGGTTTGTAAAAGTTCCCAGTTTATGTATTACTAATAACAATAATTATAATTTTGTTATATTATGTGCTTTTTATAAGCGTAAAACACAAAATAATTACTATAACTGGTGTTTGGTTTCAAACTCGGATAAACTAGGCAAATTAATTAGATTTTATTTTTAATTGGATTAACGATTAATGTTTTAAATTAATTAAACGTAATCGGAGCCAGCGATTAACGATTAAAAAAATGTTATCATTAATCGTACAGTTGATTACGACTAATTAATGTTAATCGTCAAACGCGATTAACATTTTAATCGTTAATGTTTAATCGTTAATCAGATTAACAGTTTGCCAACACTCTGTGAAATCATGTTCATATTCACGGAAAAAATGGACGTGTTTGGAAAAGAGGCGTAGCACCTCCCATACTGACTGAAAGTTTCATATTGCATATCTCTTCAAATGTTTGGGGTAAAGCACTCAAGTTTGGTATGGAAATACATATGTATGTATGCATGTGAAACTAATACCATACTCATGGAGAAAAATTAGAGTTATTGGAAATGGTGGTGTGGGAACTCCCATGCAAATTGTGTTTTTTATGCTGCATATCTCTGGAGGTGTTTATTGCCGAGGACTGGAACTTGGCACCGGCACAAAATTAATTCCATACTCATGGAGAAGAACTTGCGTTATTCGAAAAGGGGACATGGTTCCTGCCGTACATATTTACTGTTTTATACTGCTTATCTCTAGAGGTGTTCATGATAGAGTACTGGGACTTGGTACTGGGGTANTACCTGGAACCATTTTAAGGTAAACTTAGAGGGATTGATATCTTTCGTATGCCTAGCGCGCAGACGAGATTTTATAATTTCATAGTTTTAAACGGCCAAATACCTTAACTCGCTTAAAAAATAACGAGCTATAACGAAATGGGCACAGAAATAAAATCTAACATCATTAAATTATTTTTCATATTTGTATAAAAGCGCGTGGTGAAACCCGCGGGTATAATCTAGTATAATATAAAGTATATGGGCAGATGTACCTTGCAGGAAACGGCTAGTTTGTAGCTATCTTTTAACTACCCACTAGTCTACTAGTTGTAACATTTTATTACCTTTGGCTAATTCCACGGTAATCGATACCGAATGAAATGAAATTAAACTTAAGAATTGGAGTGTATTATTTTTAGTAAGTAATGCCGAATTTCCACTTGGCATTGAAATGACAAACACTTTATGCCATTTAAAAAAATGCCATGTGGAAATGAACTCAATGATTATTTTTTCACATAATGACACGATAATTTTTTAATGCCCGACTTTGTCATTTGTCATTTTTGCCATTTAATGCCTAGTGGAAATCCAGCATAAGAGTAAATAAATCTATCTTTCAAGACTGAAAGCCAAAATTTAGAATTTTATCTAAAAGTCAGATAGTTTTTTATTTTTGGCTGTACCATTTACAAATTCATGTGATAAGTTAATTTTATTTAAAATTGACAAGACTGATTTTTGTAGTCTATTGTCTGTTTTGCATTGTTTGGCCTACACTGAGAAAAAGGATTAGTTTCGACAACTAAAGATATTTAGTTACCGAATTTTGACAATATTTGGGAACTGTTACCAAGGATTGGGAACTATTACCATGGGTTGGTAATTATAACTAAATATATTAAAGCTTCTAATATTCATCTAGGTTGTACCAAATCGTTAATTTAGTTGAAGGGTTTGGTAAATACTAATAAATATTTTTTTTAAACATATTTCTACAAATTCCATTCAACTTAACGTATGGTTCATAAAAGGATGTCATTAAGCTCTGCTAATACAGACAAGCTTTCTTACAACACATGGTTTAGTCAGAGTTACCAAATCTATGAGGAAACCACAATTTGGTTTGAGAGCGGAAGATATTCATGCTTGTGGGCCACCCCTAAAGAATGCTGAGCGCTCTATGAGCACATGTGTGTTTCACATACGAAGAGCGCCAGCTGAGCAATGCACACAGTCCCACTTATTGAATCGTTTGAATGTTCTAGTATGCCGACCATTGCATAAAAACGACCCTGCAGGGAAACCGCGGACTAGTGAATCAAATTTCTAGTTCCGTACTAGGTCTTTATCGCCAAAAACGAACTAGTCCGATATGAACTAAATCCCCACCAGTCCAAAATCGGAGAAAAGTGGTACTTTTAAAAAACTAATTTATTTCAGTTTTTCACTAGAAAACGATATCTAAAGTGACGAACTTAGAAATGGTTCGGAACTATAGAAAAAGGCATGCAGAACGAACTAGATCTTATTTGTCGAATTTAGAACTAATTCGGAACTATCGAACAAGGGATGCAGCGGGGGGCTTGATATGAAAGATATGTGTTCGGCGGATTTTTCGTTCAAATACGCTTCTATTCTACGCTTCGCAGATGCTTTTTCATAACTTGGTAATACAAAACTAAAATTTGTGTTAACATTTCAACATCTTGGGACCGTCTGGAATCTAAGAAATAACAGCGAGCACCTCTGCAAACTCAGCTACAGGTATGTAAACGTACATTTCTTACAATCATTCAAACAAATTTAATTTCAAATTGAAAACACATTTCTTCCAAAATAACTTAAAATCGCACACACGGAAGAACTAAAAAGATTGAAAAATCATGATACTTTTTTCTTTCGTCCGTCGATTACAGAACTGGTTCGGAACTATAGAATTTAGGACTTGTTCAGAACTATCGAAAAAGGGATGCAGTCGGGGGCAATTGACACTTCCTAGGACACATTGACACTTCCACGGAATGATTCGTTTAGTTCAAAATTAGTTTTGCATGGCTTTAAAAATAGAGGTCGATAGTGTCTTGACACTCGAGAAGGAACATTAAAATTTACCTCAGCCAGGAGGGCCTCAAGCCGTTTTGTAAAAGAAAATAGCCGATTTTGCTATTTACCTTGTTTTCTTAAAATTCAAATATATATGTTTTCATTTTTGACTAAGCGATCCAAAATCTGTTGGAAATGGCTACTAGCCTCAACGCGGAGGCAGGGTTATATATATATGTGCCGATTTCGCTTATTTTTATTTTAAACGAATATATTTTTTCTAAAGAAGGCCGTAACGGGGATTTTCTTCATAAAATGTTTGTTATGAATGACTTAAATTTGTGTGAAGTTTTATTCGCAATAGGGTTGTTCGACTTCACTAGAAAGTCGACTTTCGACTTTTCGATCGACTCTGTACAGCCGACTTTTAAAGTCGACCGATCCAGGAAGAAAAGTCGACTTTGTTCGACTTTTTTAATAAAAAGAAAATGTATTAACTATACTCTGCATTTAACTCATATATTAGCTATAAATATAAGAGTCAGAATACGCCAAAAATATCATGATTTACTAGTGGTCTTTAGAATAATCTGTAATTTAGTGAAATTCAATGCTAGGTAAAAAAAAAAAACACTAAAGGATTTCTAAAAATTTTTAAAATTGTTCCAGTTATACAGAATGAAAATGTTGGTTGTGAGGGTTTTCAAAAATTATATTTTTGAAAAATAATTTAAAAATTTTTAAATTTTCACAAAAAAAAATTCTAAAAATTTTTTAATCGATATTTGGTAATTACGGACACCTTTTTGAAAAATGTGGCCTTCCGATGGAGCAGAATTGGCGGGTATTGGTAGAAATATAGTGCCACTTTATAAGCATGGATAAATATGGGAGTAGCCCAGACAGCTAGTGGATTGGGACTATCCACAC